TCAAAAAGAAAACCCAAGATCCTAAAGCCTAACCCCGAAACCTAAACCCATCAAAAAGAAAGCAAGCCTAAATAACCCCAATCCTAAAGCCCTCAAAAAGAAAGCCTAAATAGCCCCAATCCTAAGACCCTCAAGCCCCGACCTCTATAACCCAACTGTGCAAAAACCCGGGCCAAGACCCGATGGTGTTGGGTTTACTTCCATGTTCGGTAAAGACCGAACAGCAAGTTTCGGGCTAGGTTTCATGCTTGCAGTTTAGGGTTCAGGGTTCGGGTTGTCGGTTTAGGATCTGGGCTTTGGGTTTCCGGGTTCAGAGTTTCAGATAGTGTCAGTTTGTAATTATTTCTCTCAGAATGTTTGGATGCCGCCCCTGATACGGGCATGTTGCTTGGCTGCGCCGGTCACCTCCGGCGCAAGTAGAGCCAGTGAAGGCTGTGGAGTCGTAGTAACGTAGTAGTACAGACGTGGAGAGTATCTTTTTTTCGCATGTTTTGAGAGTCACGATTAGGGCCGACTACGGTTTCGATTCGTTCCACAATGAGCAGAGTGTCCGTAGGGCTGCCACGAGGCAAACGACGATTCCCGACAGGTGTATGTAATTAAACTTCAGTACCTTACACGTAAGCCACGTATGCCCAATTTACTAATAAGATATGGGTGGTTTTCAAAATGTTAGTCCCTTTTTGGGTACCTTAAATAATAGGTGCCGTACTATAATAGGGACCCAAAAAGGGACCCTAGTGTTGACAGCCACCCATATAAGTCCCCTCAGGAGCATCTCAGTGGGCAGGCTTCGGACGTTGAGATTTGTTCGGTTTAGGGGTTAGGGTTTAGGGTTTCGTTTTATTGCTGAGTGATCGAAAAAGGGCTTAAACCATGTCAAACCCTACAGGGTGGGGGTTTAGGCGTTCCTCAACTGTCGCGGAACCGAATTCTCAGGTTGTTACAAAGATGTTTCTGGAGTTCAGGGTTTATGTGGCTTGCCACTTTGGCGTGTCTTCTATGTGGCCTTCGTCCTGGCATTTAGCATCAGGTGAAGCAGGGTAGACAATCGTCGCCTGCCTTCACAGAGCCTTGCACCGTGTGCCCTGCACAGGAGAACCCAATCCTACACCAAACCATTAGCTCGAACCTGCATCCAGTTACCAACTTAAGAGAAGCAGTAAGTCATTGGTTTCGCAAGATGGAATTGACCACACTGACTGATGAGCTTAAAGAGGCATGTCCTACACCCTTAACCCTGAGCGCTAAACTCTAAACCCATCACCCTATAAACCTGAAGAACCTACCTTTTTAAGGACTTATGAAAGGAAATCATAGTAGGGAACCCCAAAAAGGTAGGCTATTCAGGGTTAAGGTAACCCTTAAAGTCCTCAAACCCTGCACCCTAAACCTTAACTGTTTTCTATCAGAGAGAAGCAGGAGCGCAGCAAGACTTCGAAGGCCGGACACGCTTGGAGATGAAAACAAAGTCCATTGCAAGGGGGACCTGATAGAGGGGCCTTAAGAAGTAGCTTAGCGTTCCTTCAGGGGTTCTATAATCAGGGTATCTATCAGGGTGTACGGTGCTACACTGCCATGATGCAACGAGGTCTCGAAAGACCATCCTTTACTATGGGTTGATGACCTAGCTCAAGAATGGTTGTATACATGGGCCCTCTTGGATTGCACGATGTTGCTTAGAGGGCCGATGTGACGCGTGCACAAATCTGCCCTTGTCTAATTGTTGTTCGCTCTCTCGCTCTCTCTCTCTCACTCTCTCTTTCTCTCTCCTAGGACCCCAAACCCTAAACCCCCAAACCAACAAGAACCCTGAAGCCAAGAACCTAAACCCGACGATCCCAAACCACACCTTGTGGCTCCAAGGGAAAATCCCTCATCCCTAGCTTTCGTTGACTCCGTGAGCGAATCTCCAAGCTCAAGCGCAGGCCGGCGGTTCTGAAAAGTTCTGGCATTTCAGCATCAAGGGTTGAGGGTTAGGGTTCAGGGTCTAGGGTTTCAGGGTTTCAGGGTTTAGGATTTTAGGGTCTAGGGTCTAGGATTTGAGGGTTGAGGGTTGGGGGTCAGGGTTTAGGGTTGTAGACCTGCAGTCGTTCCACAAGGGTCATGTTAAGGCTATGCAAGTGGTCTGTAGGCTACAAGCAGTCTATACAGGTTCTGGAAGGGTTCTTTCAGGGTTTGGGAGGGGGCAGGTACCGTGAGGGTTTACTTAAAGACCCAAGGGACTAAGCAAGTAGGTTTCAAGTAGAGTTATAAGTAGCCTAAACCCTCAAACCTTGATCCCTAAAACCCTAAACCTCATAAGTACCCGAAATGGAGTTAGTCCAAGGGTCATTAGAACGGCTTGAGCAAGGTACTTGAGAGGGACTGTCTGGTTCTTACTATAGGGAATGGGGGAATGGGTTATGGGGACTACTGGGGGGGACCTTGAGGGACGATCATAGGGATCCATTCCCCGGTTCCCTACTAAGCACTAGACAGGGGATTTAGGATTGTTTTCGGGGACTGCGGTGTAGTGTAGGAACCTGATTAAGAAACCTTGGGCTTTTACTAGGGCTCCTTGTATGAACCCTGCCATTTTGGGCGTTATGGGCCAAGGGTTTCTTAATCAGGCTCCTTACAGGAATCTATAAGGGTCTAAGGGGGTGGAGGGTCTACTAGGTTCCCCAGTAGTACCCCTTTGCCCTTTTGAGATTGTTTTGCGGGTGCCCTTATTAAAAACCAACACAGGGGTACCCGTATGATTAAGGGATTGCTGGGGAACCTAGGGCGTGTGTGGACTCCCAGGGTGAGGTGCGGAAGCTGCGTACCCTGAGGGTGCATGTGTAATGGTACCCATAGGCCCCCCATAGCAGTTCCTGTTTGGGCTGACCTTATAGGATTTTAATTATGAGCCCCAAAAGGAACTACTAGGGGGCCTATGGGTAAACCCTGAAATATGGTACATCTTTTTGGGATGACTTTTTTCATGGTCAGGATCCTGTAGTAAGACACTAAGATAACCAACAGTGAGGTACTACATTTAAGGGTGCAGGTTGGGGGCTGATTGAACTCTCCTTATAGCGCCTTGCTGGAATTGTCGTAGATCAGCCCCTCAAGCCCCATCTCACTATCAAGGCCCCCTATCCATAGAGTATAGACCTTGAAAGCCTTGACCCGAGTTTTAAATACATGAACCAGAACTGCATGAAGATATAGATGTGTATTCTCAAGGCATTTGCAATCTCCGGTTATTGAACACGGCACGACTGGAGTTCATCACCTAGGGTTCTAAGGCCAGACCAAGATCAAGCTCGTGTTTGGCCCGCGCCCAACCATTCAGGCTGAGGGTGCAATGTAGGGGTAAGTTCATAGGACCGTATATCACTATCACTATGAGCCTCACTAGACCCTAAACTCTAATTCCTTGGGTGTTCATAGGGTTTAGGGACAAGGTTTAGGGGCTCAAGATCGCCCGAAGCTAGCAGCTAGGATTTGACTCAAAACTCCAAGCTCTGTGGGCCATAAGAACCCAGAAACCATGAGACCTTTCTGCTGCATGATCTAAAACACACTAACGATTGGTTGTGGATAATGCATGCTTCTGTCCGACATGTGTATCTTATCTGACATCCAACCTGCAGACCTCGACCTCCTGTCACCAACTCAGCTGATCCCAAATATACAATTACGAATTCTCAAATCTGCACATCCCCCATCGTCTACCACGATGTCTATAAAACCTACCCCCTTTGACCCTTACATCTACAATCCCACAGGCTAGTTTTTCGCTGCAGCCCCACAGGCACACCATGCGCTTTCTTCTGTTTGCCGGGCTTTCTGGGGCCTGGGCGGCACAACAGCGCGGGACGGGTGCGAAAGAGGCCCGCATGGTTTCCCGGTTGTGAGGTTCCAACTTTGGTATCTCTGTTCGTCCATGTTCTGGAGCCCTTGTAAACAACAATCCTATCTATAGTCTCCATTGTAGTTCCTTTTTTTGGTTTAACCAATTATATATTAAGGATCCTATAAGGAAACCCCAAAAAAGGAACTACAATGGAGACTATAGGTACGATGTAATTCGGACTCCATAGAAGGCTCCTTGTAAGCTTTCATTTTGTGTTCAACAAAACCGGCTGCGAATTCGTTGTGATTTCGGGTGGCCGCTGCTGGGCGGGCAAGGCTCAAAGATATCTTACCCTAAGGGTCCATGTGCCCAAATAGTATATACTTTGGCCCTAAAGTAAGCCCTTTATCGGTACTTTGGGGTCAAAGTATGTACTATTTGGGTACATGGACCCTTAGGGTTAAGTTGCGGAATTAGGTTTTGCAAGTGGGCTTAAGCATGAGGTGAGTCGGGTTGGGGTGCAACTAAGCACCGTACCCATGTTTAGAAAGCACATAAAGAATTTCGTTGGCTTTCATAATACGTAGTTCCAAGACCAAGATGTAGGAAGCGCTACACATATGTATGGCACATTGACTCGTAGAGATAGGGTGCTGCGATTAGAGAGTTCGTCCGTCGGGATGTCATTTTACGTGTGTTCGTGTGTCTAGGTTCCCCTGTCGTATCTTATCCTGTTACGCTACTGGGGACCCTAGGTGTGCGGCAGAGGGTCGGAGGTGTAGTGACGAGGGTGAGACAAGCACGAGCCCAATTCGAGATCGGGATATACCCAAATACCGTAGTTCATGTCGTTTATGTAGAGGTTTGGCTAGTTGGTTGTGGGTAGCAATAAATTCAATCGCCTGTTTTTACCTTTGATTAAGCCGTGTATAGATCAATTAAGAAACTCTTATTGCCCTAAGGGTCGTTTGGGTTGGAGGGGCGCCACTGATTAAGGACATGACCCAGCATAGCCCTTGAAGGACCCCAACACCTCATGACAACCCACCCACACCCCATGACACCCCAATGGGGTTGGGTCCTCAACAACACCACTTTGAAGCTGTTCAAGCCTTTTTTTGTCACCTGCTTTGCATGGCCGTTTGCGCCCAAGCACCATCGATGAGTGACTTCGTCACTCATCTAGCTCATCGAATACAACAATCTGTAGCTCTGGAGCTAACTTGTTGTGTCCCCTCGGATGCAGAAGTCGATCGATTCTTAACTCCAGCATATGCAAGCGATGACGCAAGTCATGGTAAATTTGGTTCAAACTGCACATGTCCGCTGCGATCTGGCGCAGCTGGTACTCGAGCAGATAAAGTTGCGCCGCATGCCAGTCCATCTCTTGTCTCGGTAGATCGTTGATCGGCACATAGATGGGAGCCGGCATGCTGCACCGACACGGAGGGCATGGAGGGGGTTTCGATTGAGCTCGAGAGGGCTGTGGAGGTAACGGTCAGAAACACCACATACATGCTGCAAATTACAAATCAGAATCATCATCTTCATCACCATCACCACTATCGACATCACCATCATCTTTTATCACCACTTTCATCATTCTCATCATCATGCTTGCAAAGACTGTTTTGGGGAAGTTTCTGGGATAAGGTTTAAGGTTTAGGGTTTAGGGGTTTAGGGAAATGAACTTCCGACTGTGGGCTGATGCACAGGAATTTAGGGTTCCTTTCTGGCTCAGAAGCTTTATGGGCTTTAGGGGTTTATTGTTTAGCGGTTTACACTACTGCTGCTATATCTACTACTACTACCACTACTACTACTACTACTACTACTACTACTACTACTACTACTACTACTATTTCCTTTTCATTTGCCCCCGGGTTGTCTCACCATCAACCCTCCCTGTAGGGGGCAAACGAAAAAGAAACTACTACTACTACTACTACTACTACTACTACTACTACTACTACTACTACTACTAACTACTACTACTACTACTACTACTACTACTACTACTACTACTACTATTTCCTTTTCATTTGCCCCCGGGTTGTCTCACCATCAACCCTCCCTGTAGGGGGCAAACGAAAAAGAAAAACATACCACGACTACTACTACTACTACTACTACTACTACGACTTGTGAAGGTACTGTACTACAGTATTAGATAATCTACTAACCAATACAACACTACCAGTCTTAGTACTACATGAAGGGTCTCAGGCCATGGGCATTTGGGTTTTACCAGTGAAGCATGGTGCGGCTTTAGGGTTTAAATGGGCTTAGGGTTATAAACATCCCACACTGCAGCAGGTTTACTGGCTTTGGCTTGAGGTAGAGTTTACTGCACAGTTTAGGGCTCATAGGGTCGGTCAGGTAGGAGTTACGGAATTTTAGGGTTCACCAGTATAAATTCAAAGACTGTTAGTACGGGTGTTTTCATGTTGCAAGGTCTTGTATGATTCTGAATTCTGGCTGTTCAGGTCAAGGGCTGAGAAAATTTAGAGAGCCCGAGTTCCTATGAGATTTTTTATAATACAATATTTTAGTTATTCATTTATTACATTCAGGGTCTGCAGCCATGGGCCCACTAACCCTTTTGGTGGAGGTAGGGTTATATGAGGTGCAGGGTTTTGCCACTCTGGGGCCCGGAAGCCTTCAACCCCGTATGTGGGCTTATGCAAGGGTCGACATGTTAAGGGCTGGGGTTCATTTGTCTTGGAGCGAGAAACCCAATGAACTCCAGATTTAAACAAAACCTGTACGATAGGGCCGCATAGGGCCTATAGCTTTGAAAGGACAATGTGTACGAGCAGAAGAAACCCTTAAGAACCAAATGAATTTAGAGCCAGAGAGAGAGAGACAGTGTGTGTGCGTGTGTCTGTTTCCCATGTTTTGCACATGCAACCCGAGCTTCACAAGGTATCGTTCCAGAACCCTCTTTGAGAGGGTAGCACGATGGCATGCCCTGGATATCCGGCCAACCATTCCAATAAAAGACTCCGCGCACAGCAAAGTATGGAATCTAGGGTTGATCTGTGTCTCGAGCACATCATAGACCATGTGCATCATATAGTGGTGCTTCGGAAGGAGGTGAAAGAGAAATCTCATGGGAGAATGTGCACCAAAGGTGCGACTACTCTGCAGCCGGAGCTGCGAATAGAGCTGCAGATGCAGCAATCCTTTCTCATGAAACTCTTGTGCTTCAGCTTCTCCAAAGATAGCACCGCACTGATCCATCAGCTTGAAGAGCTCAACATATGTATACATCACAGTCGCCACACGTTTGTCGACCTCTGTCGCCGACGGTCGCAAAGCCCAGCTCGAAACTTCCTCTGCCAGCCAGAAGCTTAGGATCTTGGATGCAACCGCCTTGGAATTCAGACAGGCCCATGAAGCTCTGTTCTTCCGATTGCATCTTGCAGGGGTAAACCTTGGTTGGCTGCAGTCCAGTTTGTGACTCTTCTTGTATGCACAGAACTTTCCAAAGGCCCTGCGAAGAAGCATGTCCAGATTCACATCATATTGGCCTTGCTGCGGGAAATCACCAAAGTGGCCAGCTTCCGCCAAGTAGACCAAGATTGATCCTTTGCAAAAATCATCATGCATTGCATGGACTAGTTTTCACATCATAAGAAAACTGTTTTCTACATGTTCGGAACAAATGCTCTTTAAAACGGACTCTATGTCACCATTCAATCCCCAAGCCTGGAAAAAGAAACAAAAACACTTTATTTCGAGACCACTTGGCTAGCAACAACTGTAACCCTATAAAAGTCAAGGGGTCTCATGTATGTAGGGTCATGAAAGTTTAAACTTGTGCATATACGGCCATAAAACTACGAAGGCAAGCAACATGTATTGGTATCCAAGTAGGTATATAGTTGATAGGCATGTAAGGCGGTATAGCTATAGGTACATGCTTAATTGTGTTTATGTGCCTGGACATATATGTGTATCACATAAACACATACTCCTAGCTAGGAGCTACAGCTACACATCATTTCTGCGTGATGCACATGAATATGCCCATACTCTAACTCATATGACCCATAGAGGGCGTCTATACAATAGTCTAACTTAGAATCTCAGATCCACCCTATAGCCAGGCAGCCATTCAGAACCTTGCCAGTCCCAAGCATCTGCCCGTGACAGACATCATGTAGGCACCGATGCACCGTCAGGCCAGGCAAACTCCAGATTGGATGCCCTTGGATTTTGTAGCATGCACAACTCTGTTTTTTTATAGTGCTCTAAAGTCAGGAAACCCAGCTGACAGGTTAACTTTGCCTTCCTCGGAGTACAAGAAAACCACAAAACACACAAGTATAATAGACTCCTAGGTTCTGTCCTCAGCAGGAATCTCCTGCAAGAATTCAGCATGAGAAACCATTGTAGACCGATGCGTCGCATCGACCCTCATATCTCCCACAGTCATCCCGGCGTCGGCATGATTTTTGCAACACCGACATCTGGAGCATAGCTCATTGCTGTTGAAGGCATTGATTTCAAATTTCTGGTTGAGCCATTTCAAACCTCCTTGCAGCGAAGATATCATAAAGCGATACCCAGAAGAGCTCCACGGAAAAGTATCTTCAGAACACATGCGACGAAGACGTGGGATGAGTGCCGACCACACATCACCCCACGTCTTTTCGTGCACATGATGTTCTGAGATACATAATATGGGCATGTACCTCTCGAGAGGTGCATGCCCCGCTGTAAAGTCAGAGCTCCAGGCCAGAATCTCGACGATGCCCGCTTCTGTATTTTTGAATGATTGAACCTCGTCCCCGTAAAGTGATAATGGCACCAAATGCGACTTCCGGGCGTAGCTGGATGAAGGGTGGCCCTGAAACCAGGAGCACCGTTCGGTGCAATGTTTCCAATATTTTCTGGCGTTCGTCTTTCCGAACATGAAGTGCCTGAAGATGTCCTCGCCACAGTCCCACAAAGCGGCTGCAAGTGTATCTGGATAAATGACAGGAAGCTCATATTCTTCTGCAGTGCCACGTTGAGGAACATTGACTGTCACCTTAATTGTCTCGATTTTGCATTTGATTCGCAGATCCTTCATGATCTTTTGGAGGTCTCTTTCGCAATTGCTTTCGTGCTTTCCAAAAGTTCCCATGGCTGCCATACGTTTTATCGGGTGCTCCCCAGGCGTTTGGCCTCCCATCTGATCACATAGCCGAACTGCAGACCTTGCAATCTGGCCGACCTTAGAGACTGTGGATTAAGCTACAAACACATGTTCCTAGCACAAGCCTTATTGGGTACACTTGTTACTTCATGATGTCAGGTTTTCATGTCAGGCCGACTACACCTGTAACACACAAATGGGCATACAGAAAGGATGAAAGAGTCTATGCAGTATGATGCATGATGATAATGAGGGTGATGATGACATAACACTGGTCTGCAGGTAGAGTTGCATGATGATTCATATATGGTATTTGTGTGCACTATGACCTAGATCCGGGGGGGGACATGCAATAATGGTTATTAGGTAGGGCAGGAGGATAAGGGCCGGGTATTTTCAGTCTTTATAATGATGCCAGGCTTACAGGGACTGAAGCTTCAGGGTTGAGGGCGTCTTCATGCTGCTTGTTTTTGTGTGTCCTAGAGGGGGCACATGCAACCAGGGCAGGCGGAGAAGGGTTGAGTATTTTCAGCTTTTGTAACGAGGCTACATGGCTGCATGTAAACGTTGAGTGCTGACTTTTAGGATTTAGGGTTTAAAGGGTTGGTCGCTTAGAGTTGTAATACACAGGTTTAGGACTTCGGGGTTTAAGGTTTCTTTATATGCTGTTTGATTTTGCCTTCATGAAGCTGCGTCCTTCCTTCGTGCCGGCTGCTTGTGAATTGTGTGACTGTTTGCTTCGGGCTAAGTTCTAAGGCCTATAGTGTTCAAAGTTCTGACTTTGGGGTTTAGCATTTTGGGCTTGCGTATCAGAGAAACGAAAGTGTTGCTCAGGTTCTATATCCGGGGCTTTACCGCTTTTGTGTTTTGGTGGTTTCGTGCATGGTGCTTATAAACCATAGGCCCATCAGCACGAGACCCCAATCCCTTGACATTTTTGCTGTTACCGAAACCCTAAGCCCTTAAGCCTTAGCCCTTGAAACCTTGCAGCCTTATAGTCTCGTTACCCGAACCATGAGCAGCAAAAGCCCGAAGCTTAAACCTTGAATCCTAAGCCGCGTGTTACCAAGCCACTTTGGTGGCACTCATCTTGCCAGTGACAAAGTCGTCGATCAGCATATCTGCCAGTTCTGGCTCCTGGCGACACGTAGTTACTCTCTTCGCTCGAACCAGCCATGAGGTTTTTAGAAGCCACCTTGCTAGCAGGTCGAAACTAGAGCCCAACAGATGGCAATTCACAACATTTACGGGATGTTCTGCTTACTCTTGATTTATTGCCACAAGGGCAGGCTTGAACATCATTCTGGGAATGTCTGCTTTCTGCACGTGCAGATGGCAGATGGTGTAGATCTTGAGGAATGCTAACTTTGAATTCTGCATATTAAAGCCCATCGCGATAGTTTGTATTTTTGCACATGTGGCCTATGCTATTTCAGGCCGAAATCCAGAACCACACAATCAACTAGTTAAGCCCCCTATCTTGTAATATGTGTGCGTGTATTTCTAGAATAAAACCCCAAACCGCAGGGGTTTTGGGGCAGGGAGTTGTCCAAGTGGCATTGTGGATGCCAGCTGCCGCATTTGTAGAAGATGAAGGTCTGAGGTCCTCAGGCAATCACAGAATTTTGCCCGAAGCCTTCCCTGTAAATACCCTATATGCAAGACACCTAATTAACCCCGAAGCCTTTCCAAGTCCTTTGCAGCCACGTAAGCCACCCTCAGTCGATAAATGCAGAAACCCAAAGCCCTGAACCCTGAGCCTGGTCAAAAACAAAACCCAAGCCCTAAACACTCCAAAGTCTGGGCCGCACTATGCCCATGCCATTTCACCCCCTATCGAAATCCAGGACTGAATCTCAATACGACCTACCATAATTCACGAATGTGATGACAGCACCTTAGATTTTGAATCTTTGGGGTTTCTGAGCAATCAAGGGTTTGTTTGATTATCATTCTGGGAATGTTTGCTTTCTGCACATGCAGATGGTGTAGATCTTGGGGAATGCCAACTTTGAAATCTGCATATATAAAGCCCATCGCGATAGTTTGTATTTTTGCACATGTGGCCTATGCTATTTCAGGCCGAAATCCAGAACCACACAATCAACTAGTTAAGCCCCCTATCTTGTAATATCTGTGCGTGTGTTTCTAGAATAAAACCCAGGGAGTTGTCCAAGTGGCATTCTGGATGCCATCTGCCGCATTTGTAGAAGATGAAGATCTGAGGTCCTCAGGCAATCACAGAATTTTGCGATCCCGAAGCCTTCCCTGTAAATACCCTATATGCAAGACACCTAATTAACCCCGAAGCCTTTCCAAGTCCTTTGCAGCCACGTAAGCCACCCTCAGTCGATAAATGCAGAAACCCAAAGCCCTGAACCCTGAGCCTGGTCAAAAACAAAACCCAAGCCCTAAACACTCCAAAGTCTGGGCCGCACTATGCCCACAATTTCAATAGTTCATGCAAGCACCATTGCATTGCATGGCAAGAATGTTGCGGAAACCGCACATGATAACAATACTGATAGTGCACTGCCGTCTTCACACCATGGCACTGCCTGCTGGTTGCGAGCTGCATCTGCAGCTGCATCTGGTGGTTGAGACTCGGAGCGGCCACCTGCATGCAGCAGAGGCATATCTGTGCATCTGTATGTAAATATAGTGTGATCTTGCGAGCCGCAGCTGCATAGCTGACCGAGCGAGTTGCAAGCACTCTTTGTCCATGCGCACACTGGTGGGAACACCTCTAAATGCGCTTGTGCGACAGCCGTTGCTATGCGACAGCACACATGTGGCACCTAATCGCGTGTTTGCAGTCACTCAACCGCTTTGCAGTTATGGATGCAGACCCCACAAACAGCTTTCAGATCCTCCCGTTCGACTTAGGACTGCGAGAATCAAGCTATAGTGTTTGAATTATATCAAGCCCTAAACCATCTGATATAAAGACATACAGCGATTGGCTCATAGCATCGAAACCACATGTAGGATCAATGCTGTTTGTCTCGCATATTGCACACGACATCTAGCACACAGTGCTTCGCATTTGCTTCCCCTGCCGGCAGTCACATACATCCACGAAGATCTTGTTCATGAGGCTTCCTCACCCTGGTTATACAGCATGTGGATTAGGAGTATTTGCAAAAAGAATGGCTCTGTCAAATGACACTTGGACGATCCTGCTGCTTCTTTCCACTTTTCTTGTGCTTTGCAATGACACCTTTAGCGATCTCTGCATCCTCCAGGTAGTATCGCCAGCGGTCCAATGCCAGCTGAGTAGATGCCACGACAGCCGAGACGATGCGGTCCTTTTGCGCCTGGGCTTTGTGATTTTCGGATTTTGGCTGGACCTTGAGATGGTATTGTGGGCTTTGGGATTCTGAACATTCCGGGCTTTGGGATTATAATGGGAATTCGGCTGAACCCTCAGGGCTTTGAGATTTGTGGGAATTCGGCCGAACCTTAGGGCTTTGGGATTTATGAGAATTCGGCTGAACCTCAGGGCTTTGTTGTTTTGGGATTTAGGCTGGGATTCCAGGACTTCGGGATTTGGGGATTTTGGCCACACAGAGCTGAGAGGCTTCGGAGTTTAGGATGTTAAACCTTGTGGTTGAATATATTTTAAGTTTGGGTTCTACGGTTTGGGTTTTAGGGCTTTGAGTTTCGGATTCCGGATTTGGGCTTTTATAATGTCCAGTTTCGAGGCTTAGGGTTTGGTGCTAAGTTTCAGGTGTATGCTGGAGGATTGCCAAGCTTTGATTGGAATGTCAGCAGCTTGTATTCTTCCCGATCCACAAACCTGATCTTAAAGCCCAGGTTCTGGGCTCAACTAAACCATGCAAGTCTATATATCAAAGTATATATGGTACATAGTGCAAACATTTCTGAGAAAGCCAGAAATCCACCACATTGCAACCTCAACACTGCATGAAGCAAGGGCGGTTGACATTTACAGGTGGGTATGAGCGGAGAGGCCGAGGGAAAGGGAGGGATATAGACCGATACAGAGAGATAGAGACAGAATGAGAGAGAGAGAGAGAGAGAGAGAGAGAGAGAGAGAGAGAGAGAGAGAGAGAGAGAGAGAGAGAGAGAGAGAGAGAGAGAGAGAGAGAGAGAGAGAGAGAGAGAGACAGAGAGAGAGAGAGACATACAGCATGTATCTACAACAAGACCATATTAACTATAGTTAATGCATTACATTTCGAATTAATGGGTATGGGGCAGACATTGGACTTTCCACTGTCGTCGATCCCGGCACTGCATCCGCATCAACGAAGCGTGCTGCAACGAGGCTCTTGGTCTGACCGAAACCTAAACCCTGCTTTCCACCCCTCAATTTCTACACCCCAAACCCTAAACTCTTGACCCTAAATCTTTGTTCGGGGCTGTACCATGGAGCTCCTTCAGGCCCTGATGAGGGGTGCTGTAGGGCGTACCCAGGACCAGGGGCGGCTTCTCAGGGGAGCCACGGCTGCAGGATTTAGGGTTCAGGGGTTATGGGTATTTACAGGGTCACGGGTTTAGGTTTCAAGCGCTTTATAGGAATCAAGCCCAGTTTTCAACAACCCCGGAAGCTACACAGCAATCTCATGTTGGGGCACCGTCTGCGTGTGGCCGAACAGCTGCAAGTAGCTCCGCTCGAGCTCGTCCGCATGATTCACCAGCACACCACCTGAGATACTCAAGAGGTTTATGCATAGTGTGCATGAAGAACATGTGCAGGCACACACACACACATATGCACACAGAAGCAGGTTTGGAGTGATTTATGTGCA